GGCACAGAGCCGGGTGACCACACGTAACCAACCGCGCTCACATTCAGCCGCTCCTGGCCGCGGTTCCTACTTGGGGGAAGGAATTTAATACAGAGTTCATTTTGATTATGGAGGATCCGGAACTTTCCTGAGAATGGACAAGGTATCAAAGGAGCCCCTGTGACTCAGTCCCTAGCCCCGTGACTGTCCAGCCCCGGTCAGCCCTCCTTCCACTCCCTGGCCCTTAATTTAAAGCAGACCTCGAAGATCCCCTCGTTCCTTCATAAATACTTCACCACGAGCACCATTAATAATACACACGGTGACTGCTGTGCGAAGAACCACTCCAGCCAGGCATCTCCGGAGGAATTGGCTCTGCTGGCCTGGGCCTGCCCGGGAAATCTTCTAGACCGGGATCCACGCACATGAGAGGAGCTGGGGTGCCGCTCAGGGAAAGGCCGTGGGTGTGAACAGCAGGACACCCCCAGATTAAGTGCTACGGTCTCATTATAAATAGAGACACTTGTTTTTTGGAACTAGGATGGAGGCAAGAGGTAGGAGCCCCGTTTGTTGGTTAAACAAGCAATCCAATAAACAAGACCCAAGACAAACCCATCTGCCACCTGTAGTGGGGGGAGCAGGGAGGGTGTGGGGCGCAAGGCCGCTTGGACAAGGGCTGAATTCCCAGCCTAGCCGAGCACCTCTGGGTGTACAGCCCTGAGGGGGCCACGTGTGCTCTCTGTGCCTCCGTTCTCTGTTGGATCTGGGCCTGACAAGGACGATGGGCTGCACTGCACAGGGGGACCTGGGAGGCCAGGCCGCTCCTGTGACTTTAGGTGGAACTGCTGACCGGGCAAAGGAAGTCGCAACTCAGCGGCGGAGGGAAATGTGTCTTCTGCGGCCCATTACACAGCAGAGGTTTGGGACATGGTTTGCTTAAATCTATCACCGATTGCAGATCTGTCGCTGTTTATGATGCGGCTTTAATCGGGGCTGATTCTCCGAGCCGGCTGGAGGGCCGTCACAAGGACAGAGTGGGGGCCTAGGGCTTGCGTTGTCCCTGGGTCAGGCTCTTGGCTGGTCACATCCTGGCTGCATCCCTGAACAAAAGCAAATTGTTGCTTTTATCCAAACCTCAGGTTCCCCATCTGTAGAACGGGGAGAGTGCTTGGAGGCAGGTTCCAGAGTACTCTAAGAGGTGGCCCAACTCACTGGTCCACCCAGCCAGGATTTATTAGGCACCCACTATGTGCTTGGCAGTAAACACCATGTCAAGCTCTGGGCATTATGCTGAGAAGACAGATGGTCCTCTCGATCTCTCAGAGCCCCAGTCCAGGGAGGAAGGTGGATGTCACTGGGGTTATCTCAGGAGGAGGAAGACTGGAGAAGTTGCAAAGCAGGGCCCTTTGACATCTGGAGCGACACTCCCCTATTGCTGAGAATAAATGGAAGTGAGCCGGTGAAACTGGAGCTGGGGCCATGAAGGGGATCAGCATGTGCAAAGGCCCTGAGGTGAGAAGAAGCCTGGATGGAGTTCCCTGTATAGACAGCAATGGGAAGAGTGGTTCAGGACGACCCTGGGTCCTGGGTCCCGATCTGATCAGAGGGCCCTTAAAGCTTCATCACAGGATCGGGCAGCCACTGAGGTGGGGAGGTATGGGATCGGTGTCTGTACTCCTAATGCTCCTGTGACTGATCAGGGGAGAATGGGTAGGGGAGGGCACAAGGGACAGCAGGGAGCCCAGCTGTGGGCCTGAGTGAAGTTGTCAGCGCACAGGTGGCAGTTGGAGCCACGGGCTTGGATGAAGTCACCCAAAGGGAAGATGTGAGGGGACCGAAGACAGTTTCTGGTGGCTGTGTCCCAGGAGGAGCCTGTGGGAGGAGGAGCGGAGAAGGTGCTGGGAGTGCGGGGAGAGCAGAGCCGGCGGCCAAAGAACATCAGGAGCCTCGACTGCTGACTGCTGCTGGGGGATCCGGGGTGACAGGACCCGAGATGGCCCACTGGGCAGGGGCAGAAGAGCTGATGGGAGAGAGGCAGAGAGACGCAGGCTGGAGCAGTCCAGGGGTGGGCGTGGGGGCGGGAGACTGAGGAACAGCTCCAAATATATCGGCAAGGGGGCGGAAGGAGGGACTGGTGGGCGGGAGACTGAGGAACAGCTCCAAATATATCGGCAAGGGTGCGGAAGGGGAGGCACTGGAGGAGACGGGAGTGTGCCGGGGGGCCCCGGGGAGATGGGCCTTCAGCAGGGCAGGTACAGGTGGCAGGAGAAAGGTCTGGTGTGGGAGTTGGCATCTGACGGTGTGTGTATCTGTAAGCCGCCAAGGAGCAGTTGAGGGCCGTGGTGTGGAGTTGGGTGAAGATACAGGGGAGAAGCCGCGCAGACCCCTGGGCAGAGAAGCAGCTGCCACTGAGGTCAGCGCACCTCCTGAGGCCCAGCCACCGCCATGCCGACCTTCTTGTCCCTCAGAGGCCACCATGGCCTCTCCTGGCCCAGCTGTGGCTCGGCTCTCTGAGTTTCCCTGAAGCAGTAAACTGTTACTTCAAACAAAACCTGGCAGGGAGCACGCTATGTGCAGACAGAAGCGAGGCTCCCGACGTGGGAGCCGGCGTGGAAGGCTTCGCCCTCCTCTCTGGGGTGACCCTGTGGCCTCTCCGCAGTCAGGGGCTCCCTGCAGAGAATCGCACCAAGGTAGGAGTCAGGGTCTGGGCTCCTCATCGCCACGTGTTAGGGCCAAGCTGTGTGCCTGGATTGCCTTGACTGCAAAATGGGGGTAAAACGTCAGAGTGAGACAGAAAACCGGACCAGATGACCTGTGCGCGTGTGGGGATCTGGATGCCCACTCCGAGCTCCCGGGATGTGGGGAAGGTACCCCTGCCTTTCTTTATGTAGGGGCTGCTCCGTCGCCATCGTAGCTGCTGGTGTAGAATCTGGATGTGACCCCAGGCTGAGCCGAGGCCTGTGCCCGCTGGGTGAGACCGAGGCCTGTGCCCGCTGGGTGAGACCAAGGCCTTTACTCTTCAACTCGAGGTGGCTGCCCACGGAACCCGTGCCTTCCCATGCCAGGGCTATGCGCTGGGGCAGCTGGATGGGAGAGAGCACGAAGGGCGCATGCACAGGGGACCAAGAGTCCTGCGCCAGCTCCAGGAGGCCTTAGAGGCAGGCGGAGCAGAAGCTGGGCAGCGTCTGGGCCTCCCCTCCCGCCACAGGGCCCTGGGCGGGAATGGGGCTATCACAAGCAGCTGTGGCTGAACTTGCCACAACAGGTGTTTTGTTTATTTTGACTCTTCCTTTCCCTTCCCTTCCCTTTTTTCTTCCTTTTTTAACTGCAGTGCTAGGGATTGAACCTAGGCCCTTCACACTGAGCTACACCCCCAGGCCTTTCTCTATTTTTTTTCTCTCCAGACATGGTCTTGCTAAGTTCCTGAGTTGCCCAAGTTGGGCTCAATCTTGCAATCCTCCTGCCTCAGCCTCCCAGAGTGCTGGGATCATGGGCATTTGCCACCATACCTGACTCGTCCTAAATTTTTATTGTTACTTTTTGTGGTGCTGGGGTGGAACTTGGAGCCCCAGCATGCGAGACGAGCACGGTACCGGTGAGTCACGGGCGGGTTTGGTATTTCCCAGCAGACGCATCTGCTTTTCCGTTTTAGGTCAGAGAGGCCTCCTCTGGTGGCCCTCGCCAAACCTTCAGCAAACTGGACGCATGCAGGTGCCTGGGCCCCAGGGGATGCTGGGAGCAACTGAGGCAAAGGGTTGCCTTGCCCTTGACCTAGGCTGTGTGCTGACACAGCACAGGAGGGGAGAGAGCCTGAGAGGAGACAGGGAGATTGAGGGTTTCGTCGCAGAGAACTGGAGCAGGAGGCCTCTGCCTGTTTGGAAGCCAGCTCTGAAGAGGACAGGGAGGCTCGGTAACGGGGTTTGTGGACGTTCTCTGAGGTCACTCCGCCGGGCACCAAGTATACAAGGTGGACGGAGGCCAGGTGGCAGGTGTCCCTGCGGGTGACCCGGGCTGCGCACGTAAAGCCCTGGGCCAGCGCCCGATGCGTGAAAGTCACCCCCGTCTGCCGTGTAAGAGCGCAGATCTGCCCTATATGAGTGGGTACCGAGGGGCAGTGTTATTTCCACAGGGCAAAGACTTGGACAGAGCAGGCCCAGGGTGGGGGTGGCTGCATGCTAATTGCATCCGGGTCCCTCCAGTGAGGGCAGCGGCGGTGAGGCAATTAACACAGAGCGTGGGGTGGGAGCTGTCACTTTTCCGGCTGGCGAGCTCATCCCATGTACGAAGACAGCGTGACTCTGGACTTTGCACCTTTCTTTTCCAATAAAAACACCTGGAAAGGGTAAGGCACTTTTCTTCTCACCACACACCCGGGCTTGGCGGGTTTTAAGATCAAATTTCTGTCACCACCTACTCCCTGGAGAGCTCGGACGGAGCTGGCTCCAGCGTTCAGGAAAAATATAGAGGGACACAGAGAAGACCAACAGCGTGTTTGGGCGCAGGTATGTGGCGAGCCATCATGGTGAGCCGACCCAGGCCTGAGAAGACCAACAGCGTGTTTGGGGTCGTAGGTATGGCGAGCCATCATGGTGAGCCTTGACACAGGCCTAGCCATGATTGAACTTGGGTCACCTCGCTGGCACGGACGTGCTCTCGCCCGTAGCCACGGGCGAGTTCAGCTGGTAGCAGATGTAACCCATAATGGTGGTTGTTGTTTCCCTCTGGAATGTGTGGGCGGTACCCTCGCTCCCATGCAGCCCTCGCTCCCGTGCAGCTGGAGAGTATAAAAGGGAGAGGTTCTGTAATAAAGCAAGCAAGGAACTTGAGAAGAAAGGTGCCTCCCGTCTCTCTGTCCTCATCCTTTCAGGTTTAGGACCTGCTGGCAGGATCCTGACATCGTGGCTTGCGACAGTAGGGTCAGGCTGTTCTTCGGGCCCCCCTCGGGGTGGTACGGCCTCTCTCGGTGGCCAGGGTGGCCAAAACCTCCCCTGCTGGGTCAGCTGGATGAACCAGGCAGGTTGCCTCGGAGACAGCACAGAGCCACTAGCTCTTTGTGGAGGGACCAAGGCTGAGCCACTGGCATAGTCCTCGGCACCCCCTCCTTGTGCCCTCCTCCAGGGCTTGGGAGAGCTCCTCACCCCCTCGGGTGGGTGGGGCCTGCTCACTTCCGGTAGGTACCTCAATGGGAAGTAACTGAACACCAGGCTTGCCCAGAACCCTTAGCGGCTTTGTGCCTCTTTGCCAGGATCCCTGACTGCTGGGACAGCCCAGGTGCCGGAAAGGGAGGTGGACGAAGAGCAGACCCCGCAGGACCTGCCCCAGCTGCGTTGAATGAATGAGAAAGAAGCCTAGTGGCTTGAATCCGTCTGGGATGTTTCCGGGCTGTTTGTCAGTGCAGCAGGTACAGCTTCTGACTGCTGCAGAAACGACTTCGTCTCTCTGGACTCTTCACTTTCCAGGAAGGTGAGAGGTTGGACCTGTGCCCACGCCTCTTCCGGGTCTCACCCTCCCTACCTCTGCAGGGGAGCCACGGGGGATTTTTATCTCCACGCACCCCGGAGTGTTACACCTGCTCCAAAGCTCAGCGCTCAGGCTACCCGGGTGGCCAGGGTCTCCCAGGGTGGGTGGGTCCCTCCCTCTGCCACAACACTTGAGAGGAGCCCCACTCCCCACACCCATTACAGCTGCCTTCCAGCTCCCCGGGACTGGGATCCTGCTGTTCTTATCCTTCTAGGGAACCCAGGACCTGGCGCCCAGTAGGTGAGCAGCAAATGTTTCACTCACCACCCAACTACTCTTGCACCCTGCAGGCCCTCCGACTGCAGCCGTAGGCTGAATGTTCTTGCTTTCAGGGCTGGGAGGATTCGGCAATGACCAAGCAGCTGAAAAAAATGTTCCAAATGGGTAAGAGGAGCAGAGTCCTCTAGTTTTCTAAAGCGCTAGAAGGCTCCAGAAGGGGAGCTGCTCTAAGTAGATGGCTGAGGGGATTTTGCTGAAAGGTGGCATCTGAACTAGACGAGGAGAACCCCGCATGTGGGCACAGGAAGGGAAATGTGTCTCAGCCTGGAGATACTAAATAAAGGGGTGGACAGGGGTGGGGTTTGGATGCTGAATTTCTTAGGTGGCCAAAGCCAGTTGTCTCTGCTCTCCAAGATGACAGCGTTCTCTCACAGAAGGTACCAGACGCCGACCTGCACCTCTCCCACCCAAGGTCCAGAGGTTATGCACAACTCCGCAGCGAGTCTTTCAAGAACCCTTCATTCAGACTCGTCCGTGGTTGGCAGGCAGCTCCTGGCCAGACCCATTGCTGTCGAGGCCCGAGTCCCTCTCCTTCTCCCCTGCCCTTGTCACCTTCTTTGATTTTTGCAGCTTTCTGAAGGTGCTGGCACCATAATTGGATATTTCAGCCTTTCTGGAAGATCCCCTCCACCACCACCCCCACGCACGTACTTTTTCATCTCAAGGCGATGGTTCTAATGAGGAAGTGCCAATTAGTGAGTCAGAGGGCAGGCGGGGGACTGCGGCAGTCGGCCCTGGCCAGCCACGCGGGAGGTGCTGAGCTCCCTGGCCTCCCCGCCTGCTCTCAAGCCCACAATCAGCCTGAGACCTGGCTTTCCCTGGGGAAGCAGCTGGAGGTGCCGAAGCCGGGCGTGAGGCAGAGGCAGGGCAGACGCTGGAGTCTCCTGTGTGCTGTGCTGGGAGCCTGAGCAGGCAGAGGCCTTGAAACCCCATGGGTCTGGGCTCTCTCTGCAACAGCGCCAGCTCCTGGGTGGCTTTGGCTTGGAACCCGCCCTTTCTGAGCCTCGGCTTCCTTACCTGGAAAGGAGGAGGCCATGGAGGTGTCGCCAAGCGGAACTGTGATGCCGTCTGCCAGGTTTTTGGTGTGTGGAAGGTGCAGAGAGATGGGAGTCCGGGCTCCGGGCTCCCTCTGACCTCATCCTGCAGGGACACAGAGGAGATGGAGGCTCAGATGGGACATGGCCTGCTTCCCTCCTGTCCCACCTGCCCCATCCTGGGGCAGCCACACTGTCAGAGCTCCAGGAACAAGAGGGAGGGAAAAGGGATGGGTCACCCTCTCTCTTCTAGCCCAGCAGGGTCAGAGCTGCCTCTGAGAGTCCTGTTAATGTGCGTGAAGTGGGCGGGGGGCCCAGGTTTCTGGTGCATGCAAGCGCATGGCGTGTGTGTGTGTGTGCATCGTACATGTTGGGGGCTCTTCACAGAGACCTGAAATAGGTAGCTTGTCTCCATGGCGGGGGCTTTTCCAAAACTGTCCTGGTATAGCATTTGTGAATTTCTGTGGTTGTTGAAATACTCTGCTGAGGCTACCTTTAAGCTCTGAGGGGACAGGGGAGAGGTGTGCACGTTGGCTCTCAGGGCAGCTGCGGCTTACCTGCAGCACCTCTGGGTCTCTCTGGTACCTTCTTGTGACCTGCAGCCCCCAGCCCTCAGTTCTCCACATCCACTGTGCACTGTCAAAGGCCAGCGTCACCTCTGGGCACAGCCAGCGACTTGCTGAAGTTGCAGGCCGCTCCCAAGGCGGTGTGAGTGACAGGAGGCTCAGCATGACCGGCCAGAGGCTCTGGGTGACTCTTTGTGGCTTTCAGAGCATGCCTGGCCCCCTTGATGGGTGATTTCTTCACTTGTCCAGTCCTTGGGAATCACGCTGTCTGTAGCATCACTATTCTCCGGATAGGAGAGGTGAAGTGTGCTCCTTCCAAAGTGCTCTGTTACCGGCACCATCCTGGGGGCGTGTCCCTCAAGCCAGGCAGTTACTTTTGGGTTTATAGTGTTACTATCCAATGAGTGCTTATTGAGCATTTACTACGTGCCAGGCATGTCCTGGACACAGGAGGGAGCATATAGATAAGCAAACTAAAGAAGCCCACCTTTGTGGGGCTGCGTTCTAGCAAAATGAGACAGACAATAATTTGCCCAGAATAATTTTTTGGAGGAACTGCAGATGCTTCATACAGACACGAAATTTTTCCTAAAGTGGGACCCCAGCCCTGAAGTGGCAGCTGCTGACCGCGTGCTGTGACCGCTCCCCTCTGACACCTGTCCCGCGCTGGCTGTTTTAAAGAGGGGCCCCGCATGTTTCCAGCTCTGCAAGCTGGTGCGCCATTCCCGGTGGCTGCTGTGACACGTTTGCACACCTTGGTGTCTTAGACACTAGATGTGTTTTCTCTCTGGAGGCCGGAAGTCTGAACTCACCGTCCCTGGGCCAAAACTGGAGGGTCTGTGAGGCCGTGCTCCCCCCGGGGCACCGAGGGAGACATCAGCTCTGGCACCCTGGGGCTCCTGGCTGCTCCCCCGTCTTCACGGTGGGATCTTTCGTTTCCTCTCTAACCCCTTCACCTCTCTCCTCTGTATCCGTCAGATCCACCCCTGCCTCCCGCTGGTGTGGCGCCCTGAGCCCACGCAGATGGCCCAGGAGGATCTGCCCATCTCAGGACCCGGAACAAAGACTCTTTTGCCGTGAGGCAGCACTCAGGCCCCAGGGTCTGCGGGTGGCGTCTCTCGGGGGATCCCACAGCAAGCAGGCAGCACACCTGGGACCCGGACCCTGGTCTTCTCAGGCTCTGCCGCACTGGACGCGCCCACTTTCCGCTCGCAGGTGTGTGGCCCGCAGACGGCAAGCGGAAGGTGATGCCTCACGCTCGGGCTCCTGCAGGCTCCTCCGCCACGAGTCTTTCCCCGTGTTAGGGCCCGGGAAGCCTCCTAGGCCACCCCGGTGGCTCTGCGCTGGGCCCTTCTGCCTCCGCCTCCGCGTTCTCCAGCTCTTAGCTTTCAAACAGAGTCCGCCGAAGGCTAATTTTCAGCAGCTTGCCGCCGTTCGGCTCCATTTGTTGCCCGCGACACTGTGAAAGCTCCCGCTATCGATTCTGGGCTGTATTAACTTTCTTTTTTTTTCCTCCCCCCCCCCCGCCCCCGCCCCAGCTCTCTAGCAGCTTTGGGTCCAGCAATTAGGTGTTGGCGGGGACAGTGCGGGTGGCTGCCGCTCTTTCAATTACCGTCACAGTGAGTACAACTTGCTCTCCAGCCGGAGTCCCTGCCGCCTGCGCAGAGAACACTGCTTGAACGCCTCTCCTCTCCGCCTAGCCGCGCCACTCTGGCTCCTGATCAATAAGTCTATCACCCCCTGGGCTCCCCTGGGACCACCCGGGCTTGCTAATTGGTCCGGGACGGGGCTGGTGGAGACGTGTGACCGTGGGGGAGGGCAGACGGACCCAGGCCTCGCCTCCCCTCCTGCCCCCAGGGTGGCAGGGCCCCTTCCCACCCTTGGGATTAGGGGAGGGGACTCTTGCTTTGGAAAAAAAAAATTCCTTCAAGTTGCACGGTGGCGATTCGTGACTCCTCCCCATTAAAATTGTCACAAAGCAAAGAGACACACGCAGGTGCTTTAAGGCTAGGTACTCAGGTGTAGAGGAGAATGGTTTTTACCCTGCCTCTTGCACTAGATTGCTCTGTGGCCTTGGGCAAGCCGCTTAGCCTCTCTGAGCCTGCTCTTGTTGTCATCACAAAGTGAGCACACTGCCCCCGCCCCTGTAGGCTGCGGGCACAGTTCAGTGAAATGACAGCCCAGAATAGCACATCAGCCAGCGGAAGTGACAGCTGAAGTCCTGTGTGGAGGGTGAGGCGAGGCAGGCCTGAGTTAGGGTCCTGGGCCTGCCACTTGCGTGGCCACAGGACCTTGAGAAAGTCGCTCTCTGTGCCTTGTTTCCCCGTCTACAAAATGGAGGAATAGTGCCCGCGGGTCTTGGCTGCGTAGGCTCTCCCCAATCCACGTCCACGCTCTTCCCCATCTCCTGGTAGCCTATAGTGCGGGCACTGCCGGGTGGGCCCGAGAGGTCAGCACCCACGGAGTCTGACAGCAGGGTGGCCCCTGGCACACACAGCCATGATGGCGACAGTGAAGGTGTGGAGGGAGGGGTGGGAGGAGGAGGAGGTGGCTAATTATTGTTCCTGTGGTCGTTGCTGTTATTTTCCTATACTACAACCCACGGCAAGGGTGCCTGGCAGTGCCCAGCACATAGTAGCCGCTCATTAAATATTGAGAGCCTGAGAAAATGAGCAAGTCAGAAATGGCACTCTCATTTCAAAGAAGAACAAAGCAAGATGGTGAGAGGCCAGAGGTCTCGACCCCAGAAGGCAATGCCAGGCTGGAGCCCTGTCCACAGGCTGCCAGTGCCTGGCCCCACTCTTTGCTCGGGAAAGGAAAAGGAGGACAGACGGTCACTTGGGGATGAATTTTAAAGGCTAGGGACCCTAGGGACAGGAAGAGGGTAATCAAGTCACAAGGATGTCACAAGTCTCAAGGGGAGGTCTCTTCCCGCTCCGTGCTGAGCCCCTGTCCTGGCTGGGCCTCTGCCCGAACAGGGGGAGAGGAAGGTGTCAACTGCTCCAGCCTCCCTGATGGTGAAGCTCCAGGAGCCCAAGGCCTTCTGAGCTGCAGGACCCAGCTTACCTGTCACCACAGTCTCGCAGTTACCAGGGGGACTCGTGACAGCAGTGCCCCATCCTCACAACAAGGTAATGGGGCCTCTCAGGGGCTTTTTAAGAAAACAAAACGGAAGAAAAATTAATTCTGGGAATAGTAGGTCAGTTTATCAGAGTGGCATGGGAGCCAGGGTGGAACGCGAGGCCACACGGGGAACCTTCTCTCGGGGGGGGGGGAGGCTGGACACGGGCAGGGAGTGGGCCTCCAAGAGCTGCTGAGCCCAGGGACCCTGGCTGAACCTGGACACCGATTCCAGGAAGGGAAAGAGGCACAGGAGAGGCTTTAAAGGAACAAGCTGCCCACCGAGTGTGGTGCATTCCGGTAATGCCAGCTCTCAGGGAGGCTGAGGCAGGAAGATCACCAATTTGAGGCTGACCTGGACTGCAGAGGGAGACGCTGTTTCACCCCCACCCCTGCCGAAAGAAACAAGGTGTCGCCTACACTGCAAGGTCCTCCTGCTGCCTCCAGCTCAAGGGCTGCATGGATGGGCATTGTCACGGCAGGGACACCCCTGTGGTCCCCACAGTGTCCTGGCAAGAGAAGCTGTGCCACCCCACCTCAGGGCTGGACACGGAAGCCGGGGTATTTGTCTATGTGGGTGGCTGAGCTGGGTCAGCGAGGAGACCTGGGTGCCTTCAAGCTGCTCCCAAAGCATCTGTGAGTCTGTCCAGTGCCCGAGGAGGCCACCTCCATGGGCCACCAGAGGCTGAAGAGATGCGGGGACCTCTGAGCCTGCTCTGCACTCCCTCAGGAGTACCTGTGCTGACCATCACACGACGGTCCCACAGATGAGCCCCGGGCCCCTCTGTGCCCGGTGTGCCAGGGGGATGCTGGCACAATGAGGGTGCCATCTCCGCGAGGGCTCGGGCTTGTTCTATTCTGGGGGTTCCCAGGTGCTCCTTTCCCTCAGACGAGATTCTCAACCGTTGCAGGTGACATTACTTGAACGCTTTTAATTGACATCATTAGCAACTTTGTTTAATATCCAGGCTGTAGTTGACATCATCATCCTTTTACCTGAAGCAGCGGCAGTGAAAGGAAAGGTTTTTGAAATCAAAATGTAATTGCTTATTGAATCAGGTAAGATTGCATTCAGATGCAGAGACAGGAAATTCAACAAATACAGGTTTATTTTTTGCACTGAATATGGAGTCCAGAATTAAGCAGTCCAGGTGTAGCAGAAGAAAGTTATCAAGAGTGTAGATTTATTCGATCTTTCTGCCCTGCTATCCTGGGCATATGGCTTTTGGCTTCTTGGTTGCAAGATGGCTGCTGCACTGCCAGACATTGTGTCTACATCCTAGGCAGGAAGAGGCTGGAAATGGAGCAGTGGGTACATCTGGAAAATTATTGGCATAAATCTTCAGACTTCTAAAGGCCATCAGGTGTCTCATGTCCATTCTGGGTTGCAAAAGAGGCTGAATGAAGTTAGTTGTCTGAAGGCAAGAACGAAGGACAGATACAGGAGGGTCTGCCCTCACTTATATAGCAGGATTAAAAAGTGCAACTTATTCCTTTAATATCTGACATCAGAGTCTCCCTGGGGAAAACGCTCTTTGTTTTGGAAAATATTTTGACAGTCTTCTGTGGGTGGAAGATAAGACCTAGAGAGCAGGAAGCATCTGTGAGCGGTAGATAGTTAAGCTCCCAGCTCGGATACGCATAGGCGGAGTGGGAGAGGGGCAGGATGGTGAGAAACCAGAGCCAAGGAAGGCGGCCGCCGGCTGCCGCTGGGGGAGCGCACTTGTAAGAACGGAGATTTCCAGCGGCTGGCCCAGATCCTCCGTCCAGTCTGCTACACTTGGAAAAGCCTTGCAAATTATTCTTGCTAGGGAAGGAGGTGGGGCTCAGGCCTGGGAAAGGAACATTGCATGGGGGAAGAAAGGGGAGCCCTAAAATGATCAGGAATGGGCTGTAGGAAACTTGGGGAGGACACAGATGTCCTGGGAACATGATGCAGGATGTATCAGTTATCTACTGCCGCGTAACGAACCATCCCCAAATGAAGTGATTTAAAACAACATTGTTTATCTCGAGACTCTGCCGGGCCAGGTGCTTTCACATCTACCTGGGAGGTGACATTTTCCATCCTTGGCAGACCCAGGCGGATGCTGGGGCTGATCGTGGGGTGGATTTCTGGTTGTTTTCAAGGCAAGTGTTATTTTTTCAGAAGGATTACGAAGTCACATTGAATTCCCAGAATATCAGACCCACCCACATCCAAACATGAGAACAAGAACATGTTCTGGGCCAAATATAAATGCATTTTTAATTATCTGCACCAGTGCTCCCTCCCATTAGTGAGAAAGTGAGAGTTGAGTGTACAGTGTTTACAATAACAATCCCAGGCACGGAAGTTTGACTTTCAAAATGACTCCCCATCTCTCCTGCCGTTGGATTTGCATGAGCGGGGTGTGGGTGAGCTTGGGCTGGCGTGGGGGACCTTGCCCTATTTTGAGTGAGTAAACGAAAACTCTGGGCCAAAGTCTCAGTGGGGCTGAGCTTTGGAGGCCCGTCCTGGGCGTCTTCCTTGTTCAGGGAGAGTAGTCCCCCGGCTGCACCCAGGGACGACGGGGTGGTCGGAAAGCACGAAGGTACCTGGGCAAAGCCCAGCTTGGCCACTTCTTAGCAAAGGCTCTCTGGGCCTCAGTTTCCCCAACACCGACATGGGGATGCACCCTTCTTTTGCAAGGGTGTTGTGGGGATCCCAGGGCTGTACCTGCCACGGTAGTACCCAGAGTGCGCCTGGCGATGCTGGCGCCCAGGGAATGCAGTGCCCTTCTACTTGTCTTCTGTGGCGAGTCAGGCTGGCAAGGCGCTGCCACACTCTGCATGGCCCCGGGAGTGTCCCTGCGTTTGATCTCCTTGGGAACGGGGCAGGAAGGGAAGGAGATGAAGAAAGGAAAGAAGCGGACAGAGGCAGGGGCCTGGAGCTCGCTGAGGGGGACATTAACAGGCCAGGTGCTTAAGCCTGGAACCCCACGGCCATTGGGCTGGGAGCGTCCAGATTGTCCCTGGCGGTCACCAGCTGCATTCCTCCAGGATGCGCGGGGGAATTGGAACCTCAGCAGGAATCAGTGGGGAGCGGTGCGCTGCAACCTGCATCAGCAGAAGCCATGGCGAAGGAGAGGCCAGGACAGAAACTTGCTGTGTGGGCCCAGGAGGCTCTCCCTGCACCCCTCCCTGTGACCTTAGCCGCCTCCTGTCTTTCCCCCTAGTACTGGAGTTTGAACCCAGGTCCTTTGCACTGAATTACATTCTGCGGGTTTTTTGTTTTTTGTTTCATTTTTTGAGACAACTCTTGCTAAGTTGCCCAGGCCAGGCTCAAAATTGTGATTCTCCTGCCTCAGCCTCCCAGAGTGCTGAGATTATAGGAGTAAGACAGCATGCCTGGCTCCTCCTCGGGCTTTTCATTCTGGAGCCATCACCCTCGACTAAGTGGTTTTCTGGGAGAAAGCTGAGCGCACGGCTGAGCTGGCCATGTGGCTTTGGGCAAATGTTTCAGCTTCTCTGAGCCTGAGTTTTGTCATCTGCAGGCTGTGTATGAGGATCCTGGGGCTGCTGTAAGGAGTTTCCACAAATTTAGCAGCTTGGAACAACATGTTCGTTCTCTCACTGTCCTGGAGGCTGGAAGTGTGGGCTGAAATGACAGCGTCAGCAGGCTGTGCTTCTGAAAGCTCCAGGGAACCGTTCCTCGCCCCCATCCTCTGGGGGTGGGAGTGTGCCGAGGCTTGCGGCCCTGTCACCCGGGCTTCCGGACAGCATCGAGCCTCTTCTGATGCCACTTCTATCGCTGTGTACCAGCAGGTCAGGTCTCCCTCTCGGAAGGATGCAGGTTCTGGTGTTTAGGGCCTGTTAGATAATCCGGGGTAATCGCTCACCTTAAAATCCGCACCTGCCCATATTTGTAAAGACTTCTCCAAGGTCACGATGGCTGATTGGCTGCACACTGCCTGGAACCCAGGTGCTGGGAAAGGGGGCCTGCTCCTCCCGGGAGGAAGGCCCTTCCAGACTCCAGGCAAGGCCCGCTACCGGAAGGGGAGGGCCGCCTGGGCGCAGGAGACGGGCAGGACAGCCGCGGCTGGCGGGGACGCCGAAGCTGGAGTGTGCTGGGCTCTGCCAGCTTGGGCAGGGTCCAAGGACACCAGGGGAAAGATGCTCATGAGCTGGGTTTGCAGCCGGCATCCGGGCCTGACCTTCGGGTGACGCTCCGACTAATCAGGATGAGTCTGGGGCTCCCCTCTGCACGCCCCCAAATCTTGGCCAAACCCAGTCACTGCACCATGATTCCATCTCAGAACCAGAGACTTCATGCTGCCAGCGCTTCATGCTGTTGCCTCTTCTCTTTGTTTTTCTCCTTTGCCTTTCTCTTGCCTACCTCCTCATCCTCATTGCTTCCTTCTCCTTCAAGCAACTGCTTTGCTTTTATTTCAGGACCCCTGAAATGTGGGGGATACATTTGTCTTTCTTGCTTTGGCCACTAGGAAGCTCAAACCCAGCCAGCAACCCAACTCGACCCAACTCTACAGAATGTGACTTGTTGTAAGTTAAGAAAACTCAGCGTCCCTTCCTTTTCTACCCTTGCCTTTCTTGGTCCCGACTTTGCATCTATCCATTGTATCTGATTACATGTATTTTGAAACTTGCCTCAAGTCTTGTGCGTGCATGTGGTGGAACAAGATAGGATTATATAAACAAATCAACAGAATCAATAGAAGACGTGTTTGGGGTTGGCTTTAAGATGGAGAATTGCTGTCTGGCACTGGGGTTGGAAAAGAGTGAGCAAGTTGGAGAATTTGCGGTTTGTCCTCTGGGAAGGCCAGTGGTCGTCCTCAGCTTTCCTGCGGGGTGAGTCTGAATGTTGTCCCAGAGCGGCGAACCAGCTGGCTGGGGTTGGAGGACATACACGACAATTCCCATGAGGGGCCCTTGTAGGTCGTTTGGCTGCATTATGGATTCAGGTCAGGCTGGGTCCAAGGGCTCTGCAGGGCGAGTGGGGCCCCTGCCTGGTGTCTTCGGTGGTCTCTGCTCTCCTGATTAGGCCCAGGAGGCTTCACAGAGGCAAAGACTCTGCCTCGGGCTGGGATTGGCATGGGGGAGGTCCTTGGGGAGTGAGTCCGTGGTCAGCTGTTAATCAGCCGGGATGAGGACGCAACTGGCCAGCTGCAACATGGGGCTGCAGGAGGGCAGTGGAGACTGCTGTTTCCTGGCCCCAGAGTTCTCCCAGCGAGCAGAACTCAGTCTGCTGATCCCTCTGGCTCCCTTCACCCGCTCTCCCTGGGTGGGAAAGGGGACAGGTCAGCGTGGCGGAGAGCTTGAGAGCCCAGAGGTCAGCACCAGATCCTGCCCTGCCATCTACTATGTCTATGCTCTTGGGCAAGTTCTTAACCTTTCTGTGCCTCGGTTTCCTCTCTGGAAAGTGGGAGTGATTTATGTACTGACCTCAGTGGGTCATTTTGAAACCTGCTGAGTTCACTAAAGTGCTTAGGCTGGTGTCTGCCGTGGTGAGTGGTTGCCACTGTTACTTTCGTCCCTCCCGAATGTTTCACCTGGCTGGACTCCCCTGTGTGTCTCCCCGCCTTCCCTGGCCACCCTCTCCAGGCCGAGGCAGGACACTTTCCCCTGGCCTGCTGTAGCCTGTCTTGCAAATGCTCGTCCCGTGTCCCGCTCTGAACCTCTAACCTTTCAGGGCTGAGGCTGAGTTAGGCTCGTGTGGCTGGCCGATGTGGTACCCAGCCTGGGACCTGGGCTAGCAGAGGTGCCAGGAAAGGAGTGGAGGATCCCGCGGCCCAGCCTGTGTGAGGCCAGACGCCACGACAGTGCGGAAGCCAAGACTGCCTAGAGTGGAGGGGACCCTGGGCGTCACCTGGGCCCATCTGCCTGCAGCGCCCTGGAGGAGCTGGACGGAGCATCTCCCTCCTCCCAGGATGCGTGGGAGTGGGCTGTGCCGGTGGGACTGGGCTGTGTGCCAACGCTTGGGCTGCTGTTCAGGTAGTGGGACTGCGTCCAAACCTGGCCCACCCGGGTGTCTTCCTCGTGAACAAATGACGTCTGCCTTTCGAAGTCCTGGGGCAGGAGAGGTGCCTTCCATCTACCCGGAGAGGCTGTGTGGCCCAGTGCTGAGAAGCCGGCTGCAGAGCCGGGGCCTGGGGTTCGGCTTTGTTACCTCCCAGTGGCCCCGTTTCTTCGACTGAAAAATGGACCCAATAATAGCACGTGTGTCCTGGGAGTTTGTAAGAATTAAAAAGTTAATATTAGCAAAGCTCTGGCCTGGTGCTTGGTGTCCTGCGATCATTCCATGAGTGTGGCAATTATTATCGCTGGTCGTCATCCTGCGTTTCTTGTGGTGGCCTCAGGAGCCAGAGCGCCACATCACGATGACTCCTTCGCCCCTTCCTCCCCACGCCTGAGGTCTGGCCGATTTGCTGCAGGGCCCTTGGGGGAGGGCACTCATGTCGCGAATTTGTAGATGCACCGGCCCGCCGAACTTGATGCTGGCTTCGTGCCGGCTCCATGCCTGTCCCTTTCTGCTGAGATTTTGTGTGCGGATGTCTGTCCCTCTCACTGGAGGCAAGACCTTGAGGGCCGGCAGGGCGCTCACTGAGGGTGTGGCCGGTGTGCCGTGGGCCACTGCCTTCTCTCTCTGCTTGAATGCGGTGATATTTGCAGGTCTGAGTCCCAAGTCCATGGCCCTTCCACGAGGCCCTACTGGTCCAGGGCAGCAGGCGGGTGGCAAGGATGGGCCTGTGTTTGGACAAATGCGTTTGGTGCATGGGACTCTGAGGCTAGAAAGGGGACTGGGCTGCACTTTGCCAGCCTCTCAGTCCAAGGCTTGAATGTGTTGACCATGTGGCTGTTCCCAGACTCCCATGACGCATCTGGCTCTCGAGGGTGCTGTGGCACAGTGTCTTGGTTATTCCTCTAGAGCTGTCACCATCTTTTTCCTCTGGCAGCAGAACTTCCTGGCCTGTCCACTGCTGGCTGAGATGGAAGGGAAATTCTGGTCCCTGTGCTCCACCTTTGGCATAGTCCTGGGGGCATTTTATGCCCGATCACTGGCTGCCATCTCCTGATCCTCATGTCAAGGTCAAAGAACTGCAGGTGCCACAACCTGTGCCCTGTGACAGTGACCTAACTCCAGATGTCTCTCCTCCGGACTCCTGAGGAAGCGCCCAGGAAGGCCTGAGACAACGGGGCTCCCAAAGGCTTCAGCAGCTGTAGGTGGGATTCTGTGACTTGTATCTGAAACATTCTCATCAGACACAGAAGCTGAATGGGGAGGGGGGAGCTGGGAAGGCGGCACGAGAAGCGGGGGGCACCCGTGTCTGTCGGGGAATGAGCAGGACACTTTGTGGACTTAGCCGCTTAACCGATGAGCATCCCAGTAAAGCAAGGTTTCCTGTGAGGCCGAAGAGGGATGCGGGTTCTTCTGACCCCACTGTCCCCTTGCCAGCCACAGGAGAAGAGCCCTGGGGTTGCTCTCTGACAAACACCGAGTGTGGACCGAGGCCCCTGAAGTCTGAAAGCGGAGACCTGGGGAAGGGACTGGCAGGCTGGGCAGGGGGACACTAGATCCGAGCTTCACAAGCAGCGGGGCTGCCTTGGTGTTTGGAGGAGATAAGGGTTGGGGTGAAAGACAGGGTCAGATCCGAGTGGGGAGAAATGTAAGAAGCAGCAGATTTGGAGGTCAGGCCAGGTCAAAACAGAACAGGACAAGGCTGGATGTGGGTAAAGGCAGCCTCAGCAGGCCAACCATGGCCACCTGGCGGGAGTGCAGGCCTTTGGGTCCCACCCACAGCTGCTGAACTGAGACTCAAGGTGGGGCACAGCAAGGTGCCCTCCAGGTGACTGTGATGCCCTCGGAAGCCTGAGACCAACTGGGGCTGCTCAAGACGCTGGTTGGGCACAGTACCTAGGTACCCAGGTGCCGCCTTGGCAGAGTGCCCAGCCTCCGCTGGGGCACAGAGAGCCAGATTTCAACAAGCCACGCCAGGACGGTTGAGAAAGCAGCTGCTAATTTATGGAATGAGGACGTAGGAAGCCCCATACCCTTGCTTTCTTCTGCTTCATAGGGAGCTGAGTCTTGAGTTTTGGGATCGAATTTGAGACAGTGAACGCTGACCCAGCCCCCTAAGAACGGATAGAGTGTGCGTGTGTGTGTATACGTGTGTGTGCGTGCGTGTGCGTGTGTGTATAACGTGTGTATGTGTGCGCGCATGTGTATACATGTGTGTGTGTGCGCATGTGTATACGTGTGTGTGTGTGTGTGCGCGCGCATGTGTGTACTTGTGTGTGTGTGTGTGTGTGTGTGTGCATGCACAGAGGGAGCTGAAGGGACCCCCGGCATCCTCGCACAGCTTGAGGCGGCCCCTAATTGGGATCCATTTCTCTTTCTCCTCAGCTGCTGGCTCAGCTCGTTGGAGAAGCAACACACTGACAGCAGCCGCCGTCCAGGCTGTGTCCCCACTCTGGCCGAGGTGTGGGCTCGATGTGGGGCACCGGTGCCAGCTGGGCAGCCTGCTCGCTGATGGATTAAACTGGAAGGGACATCCTTATTGAGAGCTGGCTTCCTGAGCCTGCCAGCTCCAGAGTTTCAGAAAACCCATGTCACAGCTCTGGCACAGGGCTCTCCCGGGAGCTCATTTAGCAATGGTGTGCTTGGAACAGACCATTCTCCTAAATGCTAACTGTTCTGGATGCCCATTTCCCTAAGTGGGGTCCTCCCATCGGAGGGATGAGGGATCAGCTCCATTTAAGGAGCAGAAGTCTCCAATTAGTCTCCTTCTCTCTGCCTTCATTTATATTGCGTGAGTCGGGGGGCAGAGCCATCTTCCTGGTTGGTCAGCCTCTGTTCCTCCCCTCCATCCTCACCCTTGTTTGCTCCAATCCAGGCTCCCCGGCATCTTTCTCCTCTGGCCTGCCTCCCCATCACCATGGTGACCGCATCAGCACCAACCCCAGGGACTGTGCTGATGCCTCCTGCATGGTGTCCTGTGTCTTGTCTCCAAAGCTGATTTCTTCCTTAGGTGCAGTAAGCATACTGACAGTGGCCCACGCAGATATTTCAATTTCTTCTATCCTTAAAAAAGCAAACTTTTAGGTGTTTTAACATATAAGATTAATACTTTTGCCTCTAGTTTTTATAGAGAAAAGGGCCCATTTTATAGATGAAAGTGCCCAGGGCCCATGAAAGTCACCGTGTGACTTTGCTTCCCTTCTCCCCACCCATCTTTTGCTTGTTGTTAAGACTGAAAAAGACAAGTCTGGCCACACCCCTTGTAGTGTGATGGGCCAAACGTCCCGCTGTGACCTGGCAGTGGGCTAAGGGCTGGATGGGCAGGAAACCACCGAGGATGGAGAGCTGCCCAACCTACTCTCCCAGTGGGGTGCTGCACCCCACTCAGCTGCCTGTGGCACTCTGGCGTTTCTATTCCATAAAGAAGTGGTGGCATCATGTGGGTGCCGAAGTCTCCAGGCCCTGGGCAGCTGGCATCTGTGGGCAACTTCTGCTGCTGCTGCTGTTGCTGGCCGCTCGCAGGAGCAATGGCTGTTCAGGGCCCAGTGGTCTGTTGTAGCCGCCACTGGCAAGGTTGACCTCACACTGGCACATTACAAAGGGGGAACGAG